TTAAGTTAGGGTAGGGTTAGTGGTATAGTTTAAAATTAAATTACTATCAGATTTTTGATAATATTTGAATGCTTTGTATTCATTCTTTTTAACACTGATTTCTTAAATTAATGACCAATCATAATTATTCATCACCTATAATAGAATATAACATAACTTGCTTTACTGTTACCAATTTAATCATGAATATAATAGCTACGTTATAGATCTGTAGCTTGAGAATTTATATCTGCTTTCGCATTAGTAAAAATATAGAACAATTTAGAAATTTTAAAACATTCAAAAACAAGTCTTTTATTTTAGGATAATTCAAAAACAAACTTACAGCTATAAGAAATAACCTTGACTGAATAGTAAAAAAAAAATTAAGATCTTTCACTACAAACTTTGATAATCAATGATTTCCTATTCACAAAACCAGTAAATATCTTAATTTTAAAAACAATAAACACTAGCAGAATTTTATCCTATGTTATTTTATGCTATTTACAGCATTACAGTATTTTAACAATTACTGCAACAGCTTTAGAATATTTAGATACAACAGTATTAAAAAAATCAACCTCACATATACAAAAAGTTAGGCTATACATGTTTGTTACAATAATTTAAAGCTACTATATTCGGACTAATAGTCTTTTTGGTCTGTCTGGCCCATAAAAGACCAGATTGGCCTGGTTCTAAGAAGAACTACAGGACTAGTGGTTTTAGTCAGAACGGATTAATAGCTCTAATTTCATTATGTTTTTTCATATATATTTCTTAATTTAGACATTTTGACATTATTTAGGCATTTCGACATTATTTAGACATTTCGGCATAATTTAGGATTTTGGCAATATTTAGATATTTCGGCAAACTAAATATCAAATGTCAAAATATTTCTACAAGCATAAAACAATTTCGGCTAACAACATTACCTGTGACACATAATCCAGTTTTATCATCTTTTAAATTGATTTAGTATATTAGCTAATTCTCTAGCAGTTTGTCAGTTTTGAGGTTTTGTGTATATGCATATTCGTCGGATCCAAAAGTAATTGAGAACTTCACATCTATAACCTAGACTTGTTGTGTGAAATATAATGATATGTGGAATATCCAATAAAAACCCAAATATAGTTATTCTGAAAAAGCAAATAATCAATTTAATTATAATACAAACCAACTCAACCTTAACTGCTTCACATTACTATAGAAATGAAGTTGGTTATGGAAATTGGTTAGAACACAAAATTGGTTAGGATGCGAAATGGGTTGGTTACGAAATTGGTTGGTTATGAAATTGGTTGAGACACGAAATTGGTTGGTTATGAAATTGGTTGGAACACAAAATTGGTTGGGACACAAAATTGGTTGAGATATGAAATTGGTTGAGATACGAAATTGGTTGGACACGAAATTGGTTGAACATAAAATTGGTTGAGACACGAAATTGGTTGGACATGAAATTGGTTAGGACATGAAATTGGTTGGGATTCGAAATTGGTTGGACACGAAATTGGTTGGGACATGAAATTGGTTGATCACGAAATTGGTTGGTCATGAAATTGGTTAGTCACAAAATTGGTTGGGATACAAAATTGGTTGAGACACGAAATTGGTTGGTATGAAATTGGTTGAGACATGAAATTGGTTGGGACATGAAATTGGTTGAGATATGAAATTGGTTGGACACGAAATTGGTTGGATATGAAATTGGTTAGGACATGAAATTGGTTGGGATTCGAAATTGGTTGGACACAAAATTGGTTAGTCATGAAATTGGTTAGGATATGTATGAAATTGTTTGAAATATGAAATTGATTAGGATATATACGAAATTGGTTAAGATATGAAATTGATCAAAACATGAATTTGGTTGAGATACAAATTTAATTGGAACATGAATTTGGTTGAGATACAAATTTGGTTAAGACATGAATTTGATTGCATGCTATATGAATTAGATTGTATATTATACAAATTTGACTGCATATTTTGCGAATTTGGTAGAAAAAAGGCATATTATACTAATAGTAAAAAGTAAAATTTTTAGATATATTTTTTTGGCAAAGTAACTTTATTAATATAAACAATACAAAAGCTAAATTGTTTATATTAACTTGAGCTATAATTAAATAGAGTGATTTTTTAGATAATAATATTTTATAATTCAAAAAATAGATTTAAAAATAGAAAAAAACTAATTTGATATCTAGTGTATTAAACCCAGATATTTGTATAATATATAAATTAAATAATTTTTATTAAAATAAACAATAAACAAAAATAATTTTAATTAATATTAGAGAATAAATTATAGTTTATACTAAAATTTTGCAAGAGATTTTTTTTCTTAAAGCTTAAAAGATAGGTTCATAAGCAAAATTTTATTATATTATTTATTTTTAGTTTTTTCTTTATTTTTGTTATACAAAAAAATAATCTATATATTGCGTTTAGTTTGATATTTTAATTGGTTTTTCTAATCATTTTGTATAACCAAGTGTTAATACACCTAGTGTTCAGATAGTAATTGCTTTAAAAATATATAATTTTTTAATATATCAATAATTGTAAATAAAATTTAAATTAGAAATTTTTTTTAAAAAAATAGCTCTATTAGATTAAAGAGAATGCTTTTATTGCATGTTAAAAAAAAAAAACTCTAATTAATCTCATTTTCTCAAAAAATGTATCTTTGTAAATAAATAAATATATATACAACTATTATGAAGATAATTAAAATTTAAATAATTAATATTTAACTTAGATCAGTAATTTAATATTTATCTCGGATTATAAAAAAATTTACCTAACTATATATCTATATATTATAGTATTGCACACCCTAACTCTTACATTCCACCAAAAAAATTAATTAGTAAAAAAAAAGAAAATAATTAGTAAAAAATGAGTGTGGGTCTAATATAAGGGGATCTTGTACATGCACATTTATGGTAACGAATTTAAACTTAGTTTATATATAGTATATATTTACTAATATCTGCGTCTGTCCCGTGGTTACTAGGAAAAAAAAATAATACTAGCTTTAAATTATAACTAATTTTAATGTTAACCTCAGGTTAAAATTAAATACGTATTAATTTTTTGACAATTTACGAAAGAAAGAGAATTTGTATTAATAAAATCTATAACGATATATATATAAAAATCAATACGTAGAAAATTGGTTGGATATTATAGTACTGTATACCATATTGATATATATAGTATATACTGTATAATAAATACTATATACTGTACGTATATATATTGTTTTTTGTAACTGTTTAATAATTAATTCTAACTATGTACAAGTAATAGTTAATAAAATTACAAATAGATTAAAAAAATTATAATTGGTCAAATTCCAAAGCAGAGGCAAAATTTATATAAATTAACATTTTTACCTTGTTTAGAGTCTCGATTAGAGCTAAGTTAAAATTAGATAATATGGGGGTGAGTCAACAGAAATCTAGCAAATCGGTAAATCCCTAATTTTGAGAAAATCACATTTTTGTATCATACATAATAAACAATATCCGACTGAATCGATTTGATCCGATCAGATCAGATATATCGGATGATCGACAAAGTTGAGTC